ATGAGAACAAACACGATGTGCAAATTTAGGGCAGGTATTTCTTGACATGATTATTGTTAATGTCTTACTGACCTTGAGACTGGAGTTTGCATAACCAAAAGCACAGGAAGGCAGTCCTTTTTATTCTTTATTTATCTGTTCACTCACTGAGATAGGGTTAGCTTGTAGCTCAGGCTGATCAGGAACTCACAATTCACCTGCCTCGGCTTCTCAAATCCTAGGATTACAGACACGCACCACCACACCTAGTTCTTGGAGGCCATCCTTGTAGGCAAAGAATAAATGCACAAACCCTGCTCTCTGTCTCTTCTAAACGCTTCCGCCAGAGAGATGACATCTGGGACCACTGATTAAAGGCTCACGAGACAAGCCCTGGGCAGGTGCAGCTCAATTCTCAGCCGCTCGGCCTGCAGGGAACCATCTCAGTTCCCTCCCACGTATGTTTTCACCCTCAGTTCTTCTGTGCTCTGGCTGTAGACTCCCTTGCCACCCTTTCTCTAGCTACCACTGGAGAGGAACAGTTCCCCTTTGATGTTATTATGTTCAACTAGATGCATTCCGCTCAGCTCTTCTAAAGTCATAAGCTTAATCATTAACAGGATGGGTTTTAAGCTTCTATTTGTTTTCATTGTGGGTATGGAACGTCCTTTCTGAACGGCTGGAAATCAAGTAAACAGGGGCAACTGTAGCAAAGTGAGTCTCGTCGCACATTTGGATGGAGTTTGATCTCTTCATTCGTCCTATAATGTAGAGCTTTCTGGAATCTACCAGAGTAGGAGGAATGAAGGCGTAAGTCACAAACAATGCCACACCAGTTTGGAATTATGATTAATAGGGTGGTATTTATTTAAAGGGGAAAAAAACTTACAGATCTCCGTCCCAGACAACAGCCCTCTATGCAACCAGGAAGGGAGTCTAGTTGCCAGTGGAGCAGGAAGTGAAGAGAGAGAGGAGAGGGAAGTGGCCGCTTTTTAAAGGGAGAGAGACCACGCCCCCATGGGCTGGTATCTCAGCGGCTAAAGGCTGGAGGAGTGGGAGGACCTCCTGCAACAGAGGAAGGCAATGATGAGCCCCCCAGGCTCCCCTTTGCCTCCTTTGACCAGCCTTCTGCAGCGCACAGCCATTGGCTGGAGGAAACAAAGAAGCAACTTAGCAACTTCGGCTCAAGCGCCCTTTCTGGCCCTTTCTTTCCAGTATGTCATAGTGTGTCATTGTAGCTACTGTGCAACACTACAGACCCAGCTCTTCACTCTACTTGCTGCTTTCAGGTTCTGTGTGAGCAGTAAACACTTCCATCCCCTATAGAATCCCTGTGACTATCATGACCCTGCTATATGGAAAGTCCTCAAATGCAATGTGTGTGTGGCTCTCTTAAACATCCCCACTTACAAATTTTGGTTATTTTTTATATTTTAACTAACATTTTAAATAACATTTGGCCTTAGAGATTTTGTTTAAGATTTTGTTTTCTTTTACAGTGTGTGCATGTGTGCATGCCTGTGGAGGCCAGAAGAGGGAGTCAGAATCTCTGTATCTGGAGTCACAGGCGGTTGTGAGCCCCCGAATCAAACTCAGGTCCTCTGGAAGAGCAGCATGTGCTGCTCTTAATGACTGAGCCATCTCTCCAGCCCTGGCTTTAGACTTTTATACAGTTGGTGGTCCTGGATTCTGCAAGTGAGGCAGATGACCCATGAGTTAAGTCTGTGAGTGTGCCGGTCCTGATTGGGCCTCTTGTCCCAGCATCAGCATTAGTCCTGATCATTTCTCTCTCTGAGTGTCCACAACCAGACACCCTGTGTAAATGCTGTACCACTCGGCCTCCTGCTGCTAGACAGAAACTCCTGAGCCATTTACAAAGAAAAGAAGCTGTTTGGCGCACCACTGAGCAAGCTGAAAATCCAAACAGCAAGGCACAGCTCTTTCATTCAGCCAGACTTTCTCATCTTCTCTGCTGGTGCTAAGGCATAGCAGATCAGTCTCAGGCCAGCTGGTCAGCAGCAAGCCTGGGCACTGTGGATCCTTATTATTTATCATTGGTAATTTAAAAAAAAAGCTGATTGGATAATAGCTGGACAAGAAGAGTTTGAGCGGGAGGGAGAGCTAGAGGAGGAGGATTCTGGGAAGAAGGGCAGAGTCAGAGAGTTGCTAGCAGGCACACAGAGAGCAAGATGGGCACACTGTACTGAGAAAAGGTGCCAAGCCATGTGGCAAAGCATAATAGAAATATGGGCTAATTTATGTGTAATTTAAGTAAGCTAGTAATAAGCCTGAGCTATTGGCCAAGCATTTATAATTTATATTAAGCCTCCGAGTCAATTATTTGGGACACAACTGCCAGATAATTGAGAGCAGGCAAATGGGAGAGAAACATCCAATTATACCTGAAGGTCTCAGGGCCTGGGGATCTGGGAGACTCGGGTAGAGGGCCACCATGATATGGGTCTCAGCTAGACCATCCCTCTTAGCATATGGCAGTGTGGAGCCAGCAGCTAGAAGTATTTAGAATTCAGTTTCTTTGCCAATAAAATGTGTCTTAAAAAAAAAACTTGGGAGGTCTTCCACAGCAGTTAAATCATACAAAATCATGAGGCATAGACCTGTGATAATTAATATTGATTATCAGCTTGGTGTGATTTAAAATCACCATGGAAACATACTTCTGGGCATGTCAATAAGGGCATTTCCAGAAAACGTTTACCTGAGCAAGGAAGAGCTACCCTGAATGTGGGTGGCATCATGCCATTAACCAAGTACATACAGGGGACAGCAGAAAGCAAGCTGAATTCGATCAGCATCCATTTCTGCTTCCCTGTGGATGCACTGTGACCACCTGCATCTGGCTCCACCCCCATGCCTTCCCCACCATGACTGACTGTGCCCTCAAACTACTAAAACAAACTTCTCCGTCTTTCTCAGTCAGGGTTACTGTTACTGTGATGAAGCACCATGACCAAAATCAAGTTAGGGAAGAAATGGTTGATTTCACTCACAGCTCCATGTAACAGTTCATCATCAAAGAGCAGCGAGAGCAGGGTCTCCCACGGGGCAGGAGTTGATGCAGAGGCCATGAAGGGCTGCTTCTTATCAGCTTGCTCATCATGGCTTGCTCAGCCTGCTTTCTTAGAGAATCCAGGACCACCAGCCCAGGGATGGTGCCACCCACCCATCAATCCCTAAAAAAACACTCGAGGTCTTGCCTGCAGCCATATCTTACAAAGATGTTTTTCTTAATCGACACTCCCTCCTTTTGGGTGACTCTAGCTTGTATCGAGTTGACATAAACTAGCCAGCACACCTTTCCTGAGCTGCCTTACCAGACATTTTGTCAGAACAAGGAGAAAAGCAGTTGGTACTGATGCCTGCCCAGGCTCTTTCTGTGTCAGTTTTTCCAATCTGATGCAGTCTGAATGCTTGAAGGAACTCTCAGGAAGTTGCAGGCAGATACTTCTACCCTCTTGCCCTTCCTTAGTGATGAGGATGAAGACGACGATGATGATGATAGCAGTGGTGGTGCTGCTGCTGCAAATGATAAAAATCAAAGAATGGTATAGAATAAAGTCATAAACAAAACGAACAGGAGACCAGGGCAAACAGACCTTGGGTCCGCTTCGCTTTGATTTCACCAATAGTCGGAGCTGTTCTTAGTACAAAACACAATGTGGGTGCTGCTCAATCAAGACTCCCAGGGGCTCCCGGGAACCTCCCTCTCCTAGTGCAATGCCAGGCAGGCATGCACCTTCTGCTGCTCTGTACCAGTTAGGCTGGCTCCCCCATTGCACAGCTATCCCCAAATCTGACTCCCTTCTGGTCTGTGTCTTCACAGTGACCTCACCAGTTATTTTCAACGTTGAAAACTCAAAATTTGGTAAAAGATGTCAGAAGTCGATAGGCGAGGTGCTGGCATCCAGAAGGAACAAGAACTGAGCGGACCCAGCTCCTTAGCATCCACAAACCGGCAGCGGTAGTAGAACCTGACGCCGGTTAGGACAGCACAGGGATATACTCTGCACTTGAGAGATTGGTTTCGCCTTCGCAATTGGGCCACACTCGCAGCACACCGGAACCTTCACAGTTCAGACTAATCTGAAATATCTTTTAGTTGAAATTATCACCGGATTTCGAGTGTGAGTTTCCAAGGCTAAAGGAAGAAAAGAGGAAGGAAGGGCTGGGAATCTGCAGGTGGAAGACTGATCCCTCCTTAATTCAAGCATTGGAAAGGTTCCTCACGGAGAACTGTCTTGGGGACGAGGGTGGTGCTGCTCAGAAGATCCTTTCCCGCCCTCGGCGCCGGTCAGCACCAGAGAAGGCATTTGATGCTTCTCCGTAGCATTTTGAAAAGCTTCCACTGCGCATAGCCTGGCCGGGGAGAGCGGAGAGTCTGTTGCCAGCAGGCAGGAGGGGAGCGGCCCAGTGAGGGCTGGGTGGGCTGACTAAAAGGTTTGCTCCAAGTCGTGACTTGGAGGCTGTGCTTTTAGGTTTGGGGCTGGCCTGGCCTCTCATCCCGCTCTCAGGTTGGACTCTGATCAGTCCTTAAGAAAGTGTCCCTCCTGCCATCCTCCGCTCCCACCCGCCCCAGAACTGTTGCGTAGAAACATTGGGCTCGTCCGTCTGATTGGAAGCATTAATAAAGAGGTAGATTTCCGCCGTTCCCCTCTACGTTGTCCTAAGGAGGTTAAATGGGCTATGAGACCGGAACCCCAGACATAGCATCCAGAATTGGGGACAGAGAACGAACGCAGTGATTCTGAGACCCTATTAGCGTGCTCAGGCCAAGCCATCTCCGGCTCCCCAGCTCAGGCAGCTCGCGCGCAGCCCAGAGCCAACGGTGCGGACGCGCACCGCTGTCTCCCCCCAGCGGCCGCGCTTGTGTCGCCACAGGAACCCGGCGGCGGGGGTGGCACGGCGCAGTCAAGCCCGCGGCTCCGCCCCGCGCCTCCCCCCTCCCGGACGGCAGAGCCGCCCCCTCCGCGCCGCGCTCGGCTCAGACGGAGCAGCCGCCTCTGCAATGTCAGCAGCCGCAGCGGCGGCGGCGACGAGAGCGGCAGTGGCCCGGGCCCCGCGGTAGCCGCCAGCGCCGCACGGCCCGGCACGCGCACAGCGCGACTCCGCGGCCACCTCGCGGCCTCCGGGGCGCCGCGGGCGGCTCTGCGTTCCTCGGTACTGCTCTTGGACACCGGGCCAGCCGGTCTGCGGCCACGCACAAAGGACCACGGACACCGGGCGTCCGGGAACTGCGCCCTGGGACCTGCCAGGGAAAGCGGCGGTTCCGCGTCTCCACGCCTTCCCTCCTTGGGCGGCCGGAGCCCTCGCCGGAGCGGGCCCGTCATATGACAGCGGAGACACAGCGGCCAGCGAGCGCCGGTGTAACCAGCTCCGCTGCGCCACGGCCGACAGCTCCTGGGGTGGCCCTCGCCGCGCCCCGCTGAGCGGTCTCCTGCCGCCGCCCCAAACCCCGCGCGACCCACCTATCCAGCTCCGGTGTCAGGAGACCCGGGGAGCCCCCCGCCAGAACCGAGCCTAAGATGGCCACGCTGCTCCGTAAAATCGGGCTCATTCGCCTGCACAACCGGGACACGGAGGACCCCAAGCACCACCATAACCACCGCGGCGGAGGCGGCGGCCAGCAGAGCGCTTCGCTGCGCGGCAAAGGCGGCGGCAAGAGCGGCGGCCACAAGCAGCAACAGCAGCAGCAGCAGCAGCAGCAACACCCCGGGGGCGCGGGCGACGCCAGCCCCGGGCCGGGCAAGGGCAAGAGCAAGCGCGCGGCGGAGCTGGCCGCGCGCGACAAGCAGCCGCAGCCAGCCGCGGGGGCGGCGGGGGCGGCGGGCGCCGGGGGGCCCCGGGAGCGGGCGGCGGGCGCCAGGGCGGGGCCGGGCCCCGCGGTGGCCGGGGCGGCGGTGGGCGGCAGCCTGGTGCCCGCGGCGCGCCAGCAGCACTGCACACAGGTGCGCAGCCGGCGGCTCATGAAGGAGCTACAGGACATCGCGCGCCTCAGCGACCGCTTCATCTCGGTGGAGCTGGTGAACGAGAGCCTCTTCGACTGGAACGTGAAGCTGCACCAGGTGGACAAGGACTCGGTGCTGTGGCAGGACATGAAGGAGACCAACACCGAGTTCATCCTGCTGAACCTCACCTTCCCGGATAACTTCCCCTTCTCGCCGCCCTTCATGCGGGTGCTTAGCCCGCGACTGGAGAACGGCTACGTGCTGGACGGCGGCGCCATCTGCATGGAGCTGCTCACGCCGCGCGGCTGGTCCAGCGCCTACACCGTGGAGGCCGTCATGCGCCAATTCGCTGCCAGCCTGGTCAAGGGCCAGGTAAGGTTGCGGGGCCAGGGGTCAGGTGTAGGGGTGGGTGGGGGTTCGAGGCTAGGCCAGAGATGGGAAGCAATGTCTGACCCCTCCAGGGACAAGTAAGAACTGGTCCATCTCATTCTGACCAAGTCTACATGGGGACACTTGGTTCCACCGCCTCTGCTTCTTTTCCCTAAGGGATTTATTTCTTCCTGTCCATTTCTACAGCCCTGATCCCCGGCGCTGGTCTCTCTGGCTTGTTGGTTCTCTTTCTTGCTTTCCATTTTCTGCTTACCGTCTTGCTGCAGGAGCCTCTCTCCTTTTCTCTACTTCTTCCCCTGGCTACACTTCACTCCCTCTTTCCCTTTCCCTTCTGATGGTCCTTCTTCCCTCCCCTCTTCCATTTCCACAAACCCTTTTCTGTTTTTTGCCCTCCTGAGTTTCCCATACTCTCCTGCCCTTCTCCACTTTTCCTCCTCTCCACTAAGTCTCTGGTCAGCGTGATTACCACAAAGGTGCGAACTTTTCCTGAAGCCTAGGATCTAAGCGTCCAGCCCAGCACATCATACACAGGCACATGCGCGCGCACGCAGGCAGACACACGCACACACACATATAGAGGTGTACACACATAAAAGCACACGTATACATCCACTCTCACACATGTACGTGAGCATACACACACACACATATACATGCCCTCGCCCACACTGCACGAGCATACACACACACACACACACACGTTTCTTCTTCAAACCTCTCAGGTGGACTCTATTCAGACCAGGCCAGCTGCCTGCTGATAAGCCCTCTCCCCTACTCCCTCCCTCCCTCCCAGCAGCCCACCCTTGTAAAGGTGAAAGTTCTCTGGGAAGCCTCTCTTAAGAAGTGTGGTCTTGTGTTAGATCAGGCCAGACTCCATCCAAGAAAAGCTGCCCTGCCCAGCCCCCATCTCAGCCTGGTGCTTGTCCCTTGGAGGAACACCTCTGGAGTATATGCTGGGCCCCAGTCTCTTTCAGACCTTGTCTCTTCTCTTTACTTGTGCTCCCCTCTACCCCCCTCCGTGGGTGTCAAAGCTAAAGATTCAACCAAGCACAGAAAGGAATGCTAGGCAGATCTGAGCCTCTCACATATTGCATCATGGGGCCACTTTACAGAGAAACAACCCCTAAACTTACAGAGATGAATGGCTTTTCCAAGATAAGCCTCCCACCCAACTGCAGGGAAGGACCTGCTGGGTCTGTTTTCTTATGTTCTGTGTTCTTGGCCACACTCAAATCCACAGTGGGCATTTTCTAACATCATATTGTCAAATCACATTTCTATCTGGCTTGGATATCTTCAGCATGTACAGAGAATTCTCATTTCCTTTAAAAGACCCCCGGCGAAGTCCACATGGTCCTTGTCCAGCCAGCTTATCATAGTCGGTCATTTCTTCCTCGGTGCCTGTCGCTGCCGTTTCGCTGAGGGTACACACACTAATCAAACACGCTAATCAAATGGGGCTTATTCTACCCACTTCCCTCAAGGCGGAACACCTGGGGTTTAGAAAAGAATGAGAAAAGAAAAAGAAAGGCATCCCAAGGCCAGTGAAAAGGTCACTGCATCCTGAGCCATCCTGCCAGTCCACCTTTTCCAGGGGTCACAGTCCTGGTAGGAATAGGCTGGGCATGAGGACCCCAGAGCAGGCGCTATAGCAGAGCAGGCCAATGCTTTGACAGCCTGCTTCCTTCCCCTCACCATGAGACACTGGCCAGAATACAGTGTGTATGAGATTGAGCGCCTGCCCCTGGGAGATGAGGGCTAGCTCTGTTTCCCACTGAGGCTTTGAATGCGATGGGAGGATAGTCCCCAGAAATGCCATGGTCATTTGTTTATCAATCACTTCTCCTCGGGGAAGATGATGTGGAAGGTCAGAGAAGAGGAATGAAATTTGCTTCATAGACTCAAGTCTGTGGCATTATGGACTTGGGGGGTATATAAGCTCCAGTCTGCATTCTGAGGTTCAGGGAAATAATAATTTTGAATGAGGAAGTGCGATTTGTAAACAGAAATGTCTTGATAAATAGTTTTTACTTAATGCTGCAAACAATAGCAGCTCCCTCGGTGTCTGTCCACTTCCAGGGCTCTATGTGTATGTTCTATTTCTTTATAGATAAACCGAACAGCATTGCAGATGAGAGGGTTTCTCACCGACAACAAAGTTAGCCGCATTTTCTTCCTTAGTTTGATAAGCAATCAGACCCTGTTCCGTCCACCTAGCAGGTTGCCTCGTATTATCTGATGAGACGTGGTATTTTTGAAGTGGTGGCCAAGACTTGCTGCTTTTTAAAATAGCCATTTACTCTCCCTGTATTTCCTATCCCCTGGTTTCAACACACAGTCCTCCAAAAGGGGGTGACAACGTGGTACACATGAAATATTCAAAGGCAATGAAAGAACTGAAGAGATGAATAGCCATTAAAGTTTTAAGGGCCTGGGTATGACGGGACAGCAGCATCTCTGGTAACCTGAGGACTGTGACGTCTTGGTCCCTTTGCAGAGCCGTGGCCAAGGGCTGCTCGCCGCATATGTGGTAGACGCCAACTATTTCCATAGTTACAGGTAACCTACCTGCTTTGGACCCATCCAAAGACCTGATTATCTGTTCCCAGGAAGCAGGACCGCTGTTGGCCCATAATCACCTAAACAGACTGTCAGCCCTAGTGGCGCTGTTCTTCTCTTTGCATTTCAAATTTTTAGGGCTTGTGTCCTTAAGCTGCAGTTAGAAAAGGCTTGTTTGTCCCTTTCCTAGAGGAAAGTGTTCAGTGCTCACTTAACTTACTGAATTGAGGAAACACCCTTCCAGTGTCTGCAGAAGCATCTCAAGACAGCTTTAAGAGTTTAATGTGTAACATTCAAAAGTATCTGGTTAATAATGTTGTCTACAAAGTCAAAACTCAGGTTTGTTCTGTGTGTGAAGAATTCAGGAACTTCATGAGGCTTTTCCTGTACTGAATGTGCGTCTTGTGTTTCCAACATGCCCTTCACGTTGCACTGTGCATGACTCTGAATTAAATGAACACATTTGTTTCTTATATGCTATACTCTGTGTATAAACAGACGTAAGCCTCTTACCTGTTTATAGCTAAATCAAGGAATTCTCAACAGGGACTTTTTTAAAAAAAGAATACTGGACCTCCAGGCAATCCTCCTGCATCAACCTCCCGAATGCTGGGGTTACAGGTGTGACCCTTCACACTCAGCAGGAGAGATTCTTGGCTAATTCTTAGTCCTCTGCAGTTGATGAACAATTTCTGGGCCTCTGAAATAATCCATGCAAACGTCAAAAGCTTTTAGAACAGCGTCTATCTCCTCTGTCGTGCACAGAGCCATAGGAACACAGTTCGCAGCTCCATGGTTGGCAGTGTTAGCTTTGGATCGCTTTCAGAGTTTTGCTTGAAACTGAAGGAAGCTGCAGTGCCAGCACAGGGCTTGCACTAGCAGGCATCACCAACAGTTTGCACTAGCAGGCATCACCAATATCTCGCACTAGCAGGCATCACCAACAGTTTGCACAAACAGGCATCACCAACAGCTTGCACTAGCAGGCATCACCAACAGCTTGCACCAGCAGGCATCACCAACAGCTTGCACTAGCAGGCATCACCAACAGCTCACACTAGCAGGCATCACCAACAGCTTGCACTAGCAGGCATCACCTGTTTTTGTTCTGAGATCACTGGGAGCAGAGCCTACAAGCCTAGGCCCACTGGTTCCCCGAGTGAAGAGGAAAGCCTGGTCACAGCATGCCTCCAAGCTCACCAGCATCTCCAGGTGGAGCACATTCTGTGGTCGCACGTGTGGCAGGCAGCCCACCCATGGCTGCAGATAAAAGGCACTTGATTACGCCCTAACTCAGGGCTCTCTTCCGACACTTGCACACCTCCTGAGTGTCCCCGTTTTAATTAATTAGCTATGATTGTCCTCAGAGAACCAGATGGCCCTGAATGACAGTTCCTCTCCCTTCTCCTGTTCCCCTCAGAACTGAGAGTCTGCCTTACAAACAGGAGTGACAGCAACAGCTAACACTTCCTGTTTTCAGTGCCACAGTCTGACCAAGCTGAGCACAACAGCAGCCACCAAACCTTTCCGGGGTACAGGTGTGGAAACCACAGCTCTTCAGAGTCAGGATGACTTAAGTCTCCATTTCAGCGTCTCGTAGCATCTCACCAGAGGTCAGACCCCTGAGTCAAAGGTGTAAGAAAATGCTGCTTGCAGGTGGCCATTTATTCATTGTCGTCCACGAAGAAGCAGCAGTAGCCAGCTACTTGCAAAAGGTCCACAAACCCTCAGGACCCAACCATCCTCCAGTCTAGTGTTCGGATAACAACTGATCAGCAGCTGAAAGAGTGCCATGTTTCTAAGGCTGTATTGATAAGGGAACCCGGCAGAATCGTTGCTTGTCCGAGTGTGATGCCTGAGGGAGGGCTGGGCATCCCAGCTGGCCCATCTGCAGCCCTGGAAGGGGTATAGCCCAGGAGCCACATGAGAGCTTGCGGTCTGCAGCCAGGCCTGTGCAACCTTCTTAGAAATTATATTTTATTAACTTTTTGAGAATATTATGCATGCACCCAGTGTAACTCCTTCCAGATCCCTGCCCCATACCTCCATCTCTCCCAGCTTCATATAACCGGCTTTCTAGTTTGTGTCCTATATACTCAGGGATGTGAACCCATCCGTGGTGCCTAGATGACTTACCAGAGGTCTAAAATCAACTCTCCCTCCCACAGGTGCCAGTGGCTTCCCAGATAGATGTGCGAGCTCACAAACCTCCACCCCCACCGCCATTGCTGGGTTATTTACTGGTTAAATCTGGTAACCAAAGTCACTGCAAGTTTATGAGACCAGGAGCCCTGTCATGTTTTGATCCAGACATCCCTGACCTCTGGCTCGCTCTCTCTCTCTCTCTCTCTCTCTCTCTCTCTCTCACACACACACACACACACACACACACACACACACACACACCCTCTTTGATGGTCTCT